CTCAAGACAACGTCCAGCCGTCTTGCATTAAGGTTTCAGTTCTAATATGATGACCGATATCTGTGACTTCATGAACAGTTGGGTGTCGTCTGTCGTTTTAGAGAATACTTTGACTAAAGACAACGCCCAGAAGCCTTCCATACAGGGGTCAGTTGCAATATTATGACCGATATCTGTCACATCATGAAGTGTCAGGCACAGTTAGTTGCATTAGAGCACATTTCGACTATGGAAAATGCCCGAAGGCATTCTACGCAGTATTTGGTTCCTATCTTATGGCCAATATCAGTTGTATCAATAAGAACCAGGTGTGCTTTGTTGCATTAGAGGATATTTCGAACACGCACATCAGCCGAAAGCTTGCTACTATGGCCTCAATTGTAGTCTTACGACTGACTTAAATCTGTCAGATCATGAAGTTGCAGGCGTGATTATTAAGTTGACTGATATAAGATATGTTGGTAATTATGCTGACGGTTCCTGCATATGCAAGATATCGTTAGTAACTTTGGTTGTGCAGGTATAGAAACCCGGTGGTTTGTAAACCTGATCAGGAGGGCAGCCACGCCTCATTCACCGTAGAGAGGAGAAGGGGAGAGCTCAATATCAACTCCATAAATTAACCTAATAGGGAGGGGGTGTTAAGTCAGCCCTGGGGAGGGGCACTGGGACAAACTTTTGCCCCCCCCCCCCGCCTCCTTAAGAAGAACCCTGCACACACCTATGATAGACGTACAGTATGCTGGACGCGAATGTTCATTCGCGGGAGCGGCGCACGCACCGATGTTGATTTCTGGTGCATACCACTGTAGTTACTTTGGCCACTGAAATGTCAATTACTTCTAAAATAGTCTAAATTCTGGTGGTTGAAGCACTATCAAACTTGTTAACGTGTTCTCATATCCTCTAAAACATACATTCCCTCTCCAGATGAGAACGTGTCGTTCTGTGCTGAACTTGGTTGGACAGTTCTAAGCCAAAATATCAAGCAACATTGTGCATCGGCCTTGGACGCGTGGGCGTCAACGCGGTCGACGCGTGCCAGTAGTTGCGCGCCCTTTTCCTCCACAGGCGCGACTAGACGCTTTTGACGCGTAGGCGCGTGCATATGCGTGCATATGCGTGCATATGCGTGCATATGCGTGGTTGGCACTTAAGGCAGGACCGGCGACTGGCGTGGCAACGCCGGCGTGACGCAACGAAACAAACACCGGCGCGCACGCGCACCGTGTCACGTCCAGGTGTATTGGCGCCATGACTGTGGCATGTAGCCATGTTGTCACATGACACGCATCTTATGATTATCATGTTTGCACAAGTCACATATCTTCGTCATTCATTGAGGTCATGTAATATCAAATTTGACAAATGTGAAGCTAGCAAAACGGCGCGTTCGCATCATGAGTGTGGCGTGTAGTCATGTTGTTACATGACACGCATGACGTGATTATCATGTTTGTTTGTGTCATTTACCTATGTCGTCTATTGACGTACCATGATACCGAATTTCGTATATGTCACGCTTACGAAATGGCCGTGAGCGTATACTGAGCATGGCATGTAGTCATGTTTTTACATGAAGCGCATGTCATGTTAATCATGTCTGCACCAGTCTCATACCCTCATCCTTCATTGAAGTCCCAGGATATGAAATTTGGTATAAGTGAAGCCAGCGAAATGGCTGCCAGTGCATCATGAGTGTGGCATGTAGTCATGTTCTTACACAACATGCATCTCATGATTATGTTAGGGTGTGTTACTTGTGTTCGCAATGTAATCATGTAATAACATACCAGTTTTTTGGCAATCCATGTGAAGGAAACCTCTGTATGAACTGCAGGGCCACGAGATGTAAACCTTGACATTCATGACATACATGTCATGATTTTCTTGTTCCGACTAGTCAAATATGTTCTTCATACAGTCATGTTATGCCATACCAAGTTTGGTATCGATACGATTATCTAAACGGCCAGGAGAGCTAAAAGTCCTAGGCAGATAGATAGATAGATAGATAGATAGATAGATAGATAGATAGATAGATAGATAGATAGATAGATAGATAGATAGATAGATAGATAGATAGATAGATAGATAGATAGATAGATAGATAGATACGCTCAAAGTCACCGAAGCTCGCTAAGAAACGCTTCGGATTTAACAGCTATGAATTTTTCTGCGCTTGGCGGACGCGTCACCGAACCGTCATGACGTGCTTGCTGGTTCACACATCAGAACGACGGCGAAAACAAGAACAGGCGCAACAACTTCATGCTCAACAACGAAAAAAAAAGACCTCAGTCGACGCTACTGTTGCGTTCTAAATTGCCCCGGACATAAATACGGGCCGTTGCAAATGTGGTGGCTTTGTGAATTACTGGCGTTCTCCACAGCCGGGCACATGAAAAATTATGATTGTGTAGGTCTGCTGTTACTGCTTTGAGTAACCTTAATGGAAAACCGTGATAACTTTGATTATAAAGCTCAACAAAGCGTCTAACCATGGCACACACTATACACCAGGAGACTGGCGACGCGCACGATAAGCATACAGACACCGCGACTACCAAACATTGTAGGTGGTGTCCTCCACCCAACATCGTGAACATAAACTTCGAAGGCTCCAAGTTCCGGCTATGACAAGTGATTGTGCGCACGTACGTTATACAGGTAAATCGTGAAATGTAGGCCACGACCGCAATCACATTTCTCTTGCCATTGGTCTCCGCGATAGCAGGAGCTGTCTCGTAGGCCTTGGTTATTCTTTTGTCGTTCACCAAGGAAGTGGACAGGCATGTATTCCCATTCGCAATACAAAGATATGGAAGACAACCATCAATGGTGCATTCTAATATTAATAAGAAAAAAGTTTACTGCACAAAAAGTAACAGATAGATGGACAATGCAAGTGCGAAGACGAAAACCACCGGGACCATTCGTGTGAGACAAAATGAGCTTGCTACCATTTGTTGAAAGATACATTGCTCGTGGGTGCACTTCGTCGCTTTGGCAACATGTGAATGCGTAAATTTACGCATTTAGGCGTTACAAAATTAGCGTTGAAGTGTTTGCCTCGAACTCTGTGCCATGCGGTGCTATCTTGCACTTAAACTATGAGTTGCAGCTCACCAAAATGACTGAATATTTTTTCTATAGTGCCCGCAGTTCGCTTTGATAGGCTTCCTACTTTATTGAAGCGAGGTAGGACAGATGGAAGAAGCTTGTCAGGTCTTTGAATTATCTAGAAACTGCACATCAACTGCAACGAAAGAGAAGGGCCTTTGTGTACGTTTGCTTTCGGACGGCTTTTCTTGCACTATCCAGGTATGGCCAGCGCGGTGATGAGGGCTGCGTTTATCGCAGGGGGCGGAATTTATCGCAGTGCCGCCTGGGCAGTGTGTGACGTCTATGGAAGCAGCCCTAGACTGCACACGCAAGCACAACGCGTAGGACAAAGAACGGAACTCCCACCTATAAAGTATGAAATGCACATCCCGTAACTACGTCGTCACTGTGTCAAATCAGCGCGTAGGCATTGCGGCCTTTGTTTCTGGCTCAAATATTAGCTTCAGAAACATTGTTTGGGCTCACTTGGTAGGCCACGCTACAGTGTCTTTCAAGTATAGGGCCAACGCCAACTAGGTGGCGTCCGTATGTACAAAGCCTCCTCTATTTATGACTCTTTCATGCCAGCAGTGATTCGAATGTGCGTCAAGGCGCCGTAGGGCTGAGAGTCTACCGTAGCGTCCTCTCTCAGTGCTATTTAAAGTCATAATGCCATACTTGATCACTTCGAGGTGGCAGCACCACCCCAAGAAGCGAATAACGCAGGTACTGATAGAAGTTTGTGGTGGTGGTGGGAGACATTTATTAAGAAAAGCAGAGAGAGTTGCACTACAAATGCACTTGGGTGGTCTCCTTATTCCAGAAGTCCACTGGAGGTCATCGCTGCTCGGGCGCGGGCCAGCAGGGAGCGCTGAGCATCCCGGCTGGAGTAGCCGAGCAGGAACTCCTCCCAAGCTTCTCTTTTGGGTAGAGGGAAGGGGGGTGAAAAAGGAAGAGGTATAGCTGGGCATACTGCAATTATGTGGTACGTGTCGGCCAGCACCACACAGTGCGCACAGTAGCCGTGTATACCCGGCATGAAATGCTGGGCGGCTGCAGGACACAAGAAGGTGTTCGTCTGCAAGCGTCTCAAAGTCGCTCGTCCGCTTTAGAGAGACCCCGTGCGGGTTCTGGGTAAAGACGGCGCGAGTTTTGATAGTAATCAAGGATTTCACGGTACTGCGTAGGAGCTGAGGTGCCAGGGGGAGACGCGGAGCACGAGAAATGTTTGGCGCGTCTGAAACATTATGGGGAAGTGCACCGAAAGCGCTTACGTTTAGGGCTGCAGCTTGGGCGAGTTGGCTCGTGCCTTCCTCATCTTGCGTCCGCCTGAATTTTCTCAGAGCGTTTATTTGGGCGTGTCGGTAAACGAAACTTGACGACATGTTGTGCGCTAAGAGCCAGGGACATGAGAAAGAGGACAACACAATGTGCTTGTGCTGTCCTCTCTCTCATGTCTCTGTCTCTTAGCGCTCAACTTGTCAAGTTCTGAATTTTCTATCTCAAATTTCTATTTCCGCAGACCAGGTGGTCACGGGTCCCATCGCGGATTCTGCAAATTTGAATAAAGTTTTCTTTTGGTTTATTCAATTTATTGTGTTCATGTACGTCTAAACAGCGTCATATCTGTGACAAATCTTCTTAAGATGAAATTTTGGTGGCCCCTGAAACACATTAGTATAAAATATTTCGAAAGCAAGAGCATAGAGTGCGACACACTTGATTGTTATGTAGTAAGTACCAAAGCTCTCTTGGTGAGTATAACGATTTTCAGTATTTATGGAAGTGGATAACGAAGGGATTATGCCTAGTACATGTTATTCATTTGTCATTGAAATGCAACTCTCTCAAAATAAAAAGAAATATAATAGTTCATGAAGTAACATTTATTGCAGGTACTGCCATATCAGGGTTGACATCCGGCCTCAGTGCATACGCAAACTCTCGTATGATGTACGGCGCCATGCAAGGTGGCTACGGTGGCTATGGGTATGGCGGCTATGGTGCTGCTGCTGCGAATTCCGGCACTGCTGGCGCTGCTAGCGCTGCTAGCACTGCCAATGCTACTGCCACTTCTGCTGACCTCGGCAAGCCTGATGCTGTTAGCACACCTGCCTCTTCCACACCTGTTGAAAGTGCAGCAGCGGCTGCCAGCTAATAACCGAGAAAAGCTGCTTGCCGCAGCTGTGTGCTTCAAGGAAGGAAATGAAATGTACATATTAAACTGTGTTATTTTTGATATACGTGGTCTCCTTTCTGAAGTAAATAAATGCTTAGCACCAGCCGCTTTTGAAGTTAAAATACTTTTCCTCGTACGAAGGCTTATGCAATATGCGTGCAGTACCCATATGAGATTCACCGATACTGTGTTATCGTGCACCAAGCTTTTCTTTTTACGGCCGATTATATGGAGTCTTGAACAGCTGTCTGTCAAGACGGCTGTTCAAGCAATCCCTGTAACATTTTCTTGCTTAAGTAAGCAAATAATGCCAACGTAGGAGGTAAGCTACTGTAGATATGTTTCAATTACCTCAGCGTATATGTAACACACGCATTGTGACTCCGTATATAGATGTATACAGTTACGTATACGCCACTACGCGAATGGTTTGCTGTTTCCTTCGCTGTTTCTGACCGCTGGAGAACCATTTCGAAATAGGTTTGACGTCGTAACAATCATGTGTTGACAAGAAATAATAGAAAAATGCAGTACAAGAGATTAATAAAGTAAGGTTTAATAAAGTAAGTAATAAAGTAAGGGTAAAAGGTTGCTATTTGACACTTTTTAAGTCATTTATATCTCTTCTGAATCTTGTTTGCGTACTGCTTTTTTTGCGTGCGCTATGTAGTTGACATCATGTACAAAATAGGCCTGTCGAAATGTACTATTATCTCATGTCTTGGTGAGGCATTTAAAGTCAAGAGAAAGGTAGAGCTGTATGAGCAGAGCCATCATCGCAATGCTGCGAAAAACCGGGTTACAATGAGAATTTTCCTAACGCGTTCTAGAAGTCAGTGGAATCCAAGATGTACCGTAGTCTTCATTCTGGCCTCCGTTGGTGCATGCTCTTTTTGTTATAAGCTAGTAACCGATTCTCCGACAACATGCGGTCTGTCGAATTTTTCCTTTCGTTCAATATACGCCATACCTTGGGGTACCAACTATACCGGCAAGTCCTCTTCCCACTATTCATCGGACGCCTCGATCAGAGCCTTCCTTCGTTCTAAAACAGGCGTCAAGGCTTTGTTAAAATGGCGCAGCGTCATCCGACGCTCCACTGGAAAAAACGGGCACCACTGGTTTTTTTTAAGCCACACTTGCTTGACTTGGCGATTTGGCGAAGGGAAAACCTTTTTTGCAATGCTCTCATCTAGTGTTCTTTTTTCGCTTTGACTCTCGCTCCTTCGTTATCATAGACACGTCGGTCCGCTTCATTGTGAACTTTCGTTTACGTTTTGAAATATCCAAACACTGAAAAGCACGCAAGAAATTCTAATATTTCTCACGCTAACGTTGCGAGGGGCAGAGGTGGCAAGAATGGAAAGCAGCGCTTCGCCACGTCAAAAACTCTTCGTTGTGCAAGCTGAATAAACGTGTAAACTCTCCATGAAAGCTTCCTTGATTCCCTGGGCCACGAAATGAATGCCCTCGTTCAGATATATTGATCAAGTAGAGAGCATTGCAAGATTTTATTCATTTTATTTTATTTAACAATACTGTAAATCTCGTCAGGGATTTTTACTGGAGTGGGTTGGAAACTGTCAACAAACATTCTATATTCACATACTTATACAATTGTATGGGTACAAAAAAATCATGGTATGAAATGATAACAATTTTGGACCTACATTATGAACGAGGCACATGTCTCAGTCACATGTGCACACACTAAAAAAAAAAACACGAAAAGGAGAGAAAAAGGTAAGCATGCAACATACAAAGTTGGCACCGACTTCCACCTTTTTAGACCACAAATGTACTGGCAGGGAGGACAATGATCAGTACAATCCTAATAGCGTCGCTATCATGTAGCTGATAGAACGTCTTGGCCAGCAAGTTCGTAAAATTTGTTGACAGTGGGCTGCACAACCACCGTCTCGGGTAAAGCATTCCACTCTCGCACTGCCCGCGGGAAAAACGAAGAACTAAAAGTATTGTTGGTGCATAAATATTCTTGCAGTGTAAGGTGATGCTTGTGACGGGTTTCTCTAGAAGTGTTGAAAGAAATGTAGGCGTTCGAATCTACTTTAAGTTTGTTGTGTAGGATTAGGTACATAAATTTTTAGTCGGGATAGCATCGCACGACTGGCCAGCGTGTGAAGGCCAATATCTGTCAGCATTTGCGTAGGTGAATCGGTGCGCCTACATCTGTTACAGATAAAACGCGCGGCTTTGCGCTGGATGGCCTCAATAGTGGCTATGTGTTTTTGGGTAGACGGGAACCATGCCACGCTCGCATATTCTAAGATAGGGCGTATAATCGTCGCATAGGCCAAGAGCTTGCCTTCTCTTGTCGAGTATCGCAAGGCCCGCTTTAAAAACATTAGCTTCCGCATCGCTTTGCCAGTCACGTGAACTACATGTTCCGATCATCCGAGATCTGACGATATGACGACGCCCAAGTACTTGTACTGGGTGACTGTTTTAAAGATGATGCTATCAAAGCCATACGGGAAAGTAAGTTTGGATTTCTTTTTTGTTACTGTCATTACAAGTGTTTTATCGAAGTTGATGACTATTTGCCAACTCTCGCACCATTGTGCTAACAAGGCGAAATCATTGTTCAAACTTATTTGATCTTGCTGGCTTTGTATTTCATATACAGGACGCAGTCATTTGCAAATAACTGAATTTTAAATTGAACCCTACAAGTTATGTCGTTTATAAAGAAAAAAAAAACAGGATAGGAGCCAAAACCCTGAGGTACTCCAGAAAGCACCGGCATAACTTCAGAAGTGCTGGCGCCTAACTGGACAAATTGGCGGCCGTCAGTTAAATAGCACTTAATCCAGCGGAAGATTGGTCCATCCCCTAGAATATGTCTGAGTTTTTGAAGAAGCTTGGCATGGCAGACACGGTCAAATGCCTTTGAAAAGTCTAATAGAATTATGTCTATTTGTGTCTGATCGTTTATTCCTTTAGCGAGATCATGCAGGATTTCTACAAGTTGGGTAACGGCAGAGAGACTAGCCCTGAAGCCATGTTGATGGGGATGGAGAACATTGTTTTCCTTGACAAACTGGGTAATAGATTGTAGTATAATATGCTCTAAAATTTTGCAGCAAGTACATGTGAGGGAAATAGGCCTATAATTATACGGAGAAGAAGGATTACCATATTTGTAGACAGGCACTATTTTTGCCATTTTTCATTCGGCTGGCAGGCATTGCTTTGAAAATGAAACTGAGTTGTTGTAAAGAAGACATAAGTATTTGCTTACGGCTTCGGCGTAGCGTTTCAGGAAGCAGTTCGGGATTCCGTCTGGGCCGGTGGACTTCGTATCGTCTAACTTCAATAGGAGTGAAAACACGCCTGCTTCGGTTATGACTGGTGCCCTTAGCGTCTCGTCTCGTTTTTCTCTATATTTTCTGGCCTGTAGGCATGCGTAATGCCATTGTCAGGAGCATATACGGAATGGAAAAAAACGTTAAACGTTTCTGCTTTTTGCTTTTGTTCCTTTGGTGACAGTGGTTTTGCACTGCTTTCTTTCCATCTAATACATCGCCTGAATTTTTAGGGTGAATGTTGGATAAAGTTGCTAAGCGTTGTACTGCAGTAGTGCTGCCTTGCTAACTTTGTTTCTTCTTTTAGCAGCCTGTTCAATGAATTTATTTTTAGGTGGAAGTCCGGGTCCGGGAGGACCCTATTAGATTTGTTCAGTCTTTATTTTTGTTTTATGTGAATTACATCTCGCGTGATCCATTAGTTGTACTTGTTAGTGTTCTTTTGAATTTGTGGGATATATTGCCTCAAGCAGTGCATAACATGTGCTTTGAACAAGAGCCAAATCTCGTCTAAGCCAGCCGAGCCGTCTGAGACCAGTTCATGGAAGTTGTAGTACTCATGGGCTAGGTAGGTCATAATGGCATCGTCATCTGCTCTGTTAAAGGCGTACACGGACTTTCTAGTACCACGTTGAGCAACTTTTTCTGGAAGTGTTAGCATACACAAAACCATATCAGGGTCAGATATTCGTTCAAGGACTTCGACGTTGTATTTCCCTTTCAAAAAGAAATCACTCAAAAAAACGAGGTCTAAGATGGAGCTTGAAGTGCCCTGCACACGAGTAGGCTGAGAAACAAGTTGGGTAAGGTTGAAAGTGAACAGAAGACTTAGCAATATATTGTTTGTTATACTTGATGGGCATATAGAGTTCCAAATATTATCGGGAAGATTGAAACTCCTCCCATTATTATGCCACTCCTCGTCATGTGACCTTGCATCTAATCTAGAAGCTGATCAAGATATGACGCTTTGGCTTTGGGAGGGGGGTCTATATACCGCACCAACACAGACTTTACTCTGGCCTAGCTGAATCCTACACTAGACCGCCTCTACACCCGAAACGTCTGGCATCACTGTGTAACTTATGCCTTAATTGTTTTAGGAGCAAGGCGACACCACCGCCTCTAGCTGGTCTATCTTTTCGTATGATGAAACAGCCCGGTAGAGCCACCTCACAGTTCCCAATATCATAATGTAACCAAGTCTCAGTCACACAAATAATGCCGGGTTCGAGTGCAATCAGGTTTGCTTCAAAGTGTTCGATTTTATTGATAAGGCTGCGCACATTAACGTTAAGCACAATTAGCGTAGAGGGCGGTTTCGAGGTTGCCCGGCTTGTTCGTTGTCCCTGCTTCCGTTTTTTGCGACTTCCACTATGTCGTTGCTCTGGTCATTCCAGGTGTACAGGCGATTAATAATTCTGACTTTATCGTAAGACAAGAAAACTTTGTCTTTCTGGTCTCGGTGTTCCTTTGTTCTTTCCCAGAGCTTTCTTCTAATTTCTATGACTACGAGCGAGAAATCCTCGCTAATTGAGTATTCCGTTCCTTTTAGCTTCTTGCAATTTTTAAGTATATTGTCTTTATCCCGATAGTCAAGTAACTTTAAGATTACAGGTCTGTTTTTAGGACTGCCAGTAGCCTTTCGTCCCT